GAAGGAACAGCGTGAGCAGAGACTCCAAGGCAGGTCAGGGCTTTGTGTAGGGTGGCACAGAGACCACTGTGGCCCGAAAAGTGCAGACACGTGGCTTGGCAAGCGCAGCTTAAGCGTTCCCGTGCTCTGCTTAAGAAGCCACACGTGCAAAACCTGGCTGGAAGGTTGTGCACAGTGGAGGAAAAGGAGGAGTTCGATTTTGTAAGAGCTCGTCATTCGGCCAGGTCTACTCTGGAGGGATTGTGAGCAGACCTGGGTGACGGTCCCCGGCGATGACTGTGGGACGGGGGGTTAGAGGAGGTGCGGGAGGGGAGGACTGAGGAGGCATGTGGCATGTGCCGTTGGGCTCACACACGCCAGCTCTTGCAGTGGCAGGACCGCTGCTCTGTCTGGTTGATGAGATCTTCTTTCTCTGAGCCAGGGTGGTCAGGCACAGAGCTCTGTCCCATTGCAATGCTGGGGATGCTTAGTTACAGGCAGGCAGATGAGGGACCCGGGTCTGTCCTTAGAAGCTATAGTGCTTATAGTGACAGAGTCCTTGCATTAGGCTGCGTAGTTCATCAGTCACTAGGGTTAGGGGAACAAAACAGAATTGCTGCTTTTAGTAGCTCATAGTCTATTAAACGCAGTGAGATGTAAACAGGGTTCCAATCCCAAGTGAAGTGTGAGGACTTTATAGAAGCTGCAGAATCTTACACAGCTCTTACGCAAATCTTACAAACTCTTGGGCATTTAGCCACACTAAATGCAGCAATATCTTTAATGGTCTTTACATGGGGTTGTATTTTTCTAAGTAGACCATTTAAGTTTTAGACCTGCCCTGATTCTCTATTCTGGCCAGGAATTGCATTCTTCAGGAACATTTGTAATACATATGAAATTGTCTATATAGTTTTTTAAAGTTCAGACATTCTGCTAAATGATTGGTCTTCACGGATTTATTGTTCGATGTTTTAAAATTTTCTCATGAATGAATTTCTTGGCCATGAGGCCAGAAGTTACGTGGTGTATGAATATAGCCATACAGCCTGAATATCCCACAACTTTCAGAGTTTCCAGGTGTAATATCTTTGTCAGAACACAGACTTCAAGGTTGGTTTCAACACCGGATTTTCCTTGTAGGAACAGTGCATAGGGACCTAAGTGTGTGGCTCCACTGGAAACTTTGGGGTTCCGTGTGAATAAAGGGTTCAGGGCCCAATAGGTCTCATGACTTCTAGACTAAGCAGTCCCTTGTGTGTGTGTGTTCCTTGGGGGCTTTTTCCAAGGGGTCATATGAATACAGCAGGGGGTGAAAGACGGGGGAAAAAAAAGTTGCTTATAGTAGGTGATTTGTTCTTGATGGTTGTAAAACCTGTATTACCTGTCCCAGGCCTTTACAAAGTGGTTTGAAGTACATAAAAAAGTGATGTGTTAGAAAGTTTTGATTGATAGAACGTGTAAACGCAATTTACAAATAACACTAAAATATATAATTCTCTTTATTGTAAATTCTTTATCGCCAACCGATCCCCAACAGAATACATTTGTTGATGTTTGTTCTGGGATCTTGTATCCATAGTGTAGCCAAGGTATTTTCATTGATGAACAAGTATAGTTCTCTCAAGAATGTGGGTTGGTATTTTTCTTTTTAACAAGTAGGAAGAAAGTGAGACAACAGGGCTAGACATTGGCTTTCAATCATTTGTCAGTGATATGTGAAGCTAATTTTCAAAAACTGGAAGGGGGTTTCCTCAAGTTTTTGGTGTTATTTGCCATGCTTGCATTGGCTGTAGACACACTGTGGGATTTAATCTGCATGATTAACATTGCTCCATTACTTTTCAAGTTCTAGACCTAACGGCCAGATCTGTTCCAACAAATGTTTTTGTAAATAAAGTTTATTGGACTAAAACCATGTCCATTTCCTTTATATATTGTCTGAGACTGCTCTGTTGCTAATATTGCAGCATTGATGAGGTTGGGCATAGATTGCATAGGTACAACCCTGAAAATATTTTGAATATGGTCCTTTACAGAATTAGGTTTGCCAGTCTCTGATCTGGACAGTCAGGAGAGCGTTTGCAGCGTATAAAAGGGATTCTTATTGACCCAGTGGTTATGGGGCTTGAATGTCTGTTCACATTGTAGGTACGAAGGGCCTCTTAGGAAAGTTAGCAATGCCCCCCCACCCACCGGAAGCTAGTGTCTTCTCCGAAGTTACCAGCCCAGCCTAACACCTTGTACCTTGGTGTTTCACATGAGGTTCCCCTGAAAACCTTACTTCTTCCTCTTTTTACTTTTAGTTCTTTCCCTTCCCTCTGCTTTCCCTCTTAAACTTCACAGCTGTGTCTGAGGTCTGGCTGATGTTTTGTGAACTTGGGAGAAAGGCAATCCAGTACACATTGGGCTGTTTGTTCTTATCCAGAATCATCAGCACCCTGCGTGGTCCTGGCCAACAGCTGAGCACATCTGGTACATCATCAGAACCTCTACTGGCTGGGACCACAGAAAGCAGAGAAGGGCCAAGCTGCCAATGGGTAGCTATCCCGGATATTGAGAACGGCACCTTAAAGATGAGGCCAGGAGCCTGGAGGCCATGCACGTGACAGCCCTTGTGCTGAAGTGGGAAGAGGCAGTGTGAACTCCAGAGGGCTCACAGGACTCCTGGCCATGGGCACAGTGTAAGAAGGTTGGGCTGGGAATCTCAACTAGAGACCAGGATCTCAACTAGGAGTGTCAGTGAATGAATGAGGCATTTGGGTTTCCAAAGAGATTCACTGATCAGCTTCTATGTCCCAGCCCTTCTCTCAACACTGGGCTATGGCATGAGATGCAATAGAACTCCCTGTTCTGATGTTGCTCATATTTCTAGTAGGAGAGGCAGAGAGCAGCAAAGGGAGAGTTATGAAGGGAGAATGATAGGAGGTCCAGGGACAGGAACTGGATCCTGGATCAACCACGGGGGAGGGGCCACACAGCATCTCCTAAAACAGTCTATCCAAGGGGGCCTGTGCTCTGATTTATAGCCTAAGAGGACCACTCTGTCTGCTGTAGAGAGGAGGTCAGATGCTGTTACAACAGTTCAAGTGGAGATGTCTGGGTGGCAAAGGTGATACAAAGTAGGATATTCTAGAGCTGCTCTGAAGGCAAAGCTGGTGGGATTTACAGGTAGGTGGGCTACAAGTGGTGAGAGAAAGAGGCTCGGAGATGGCTGAAGTTTGGGGTCCAAGTAAATGGAGGAGTAGTGTTTCCAATTCTTGAGATGGGAAAGTTTGAAAAGGTGCGTTGAAAGTCAGGGGCAACCAGCAGTTCGGCTGTGCACACGGTAGCAGCACACTGCACATGCTGAATGGAAGCTGCATATAAGTCCCGAGTGCAGAGGAGAGATTAGAGCCGTGGGTATCAGCTTAGGAATCATCAGTGTAAAGGCAAGGGGCTGGGTGCTCCCACTTCAGAGAAAGGTTAGATGTGGAGAGTGGTGATCTGAGGATTCGGCTTCCGGCCCTGATGGTTAGAAGAGGGGATCCAGCAGAGGAGAACTAGTACTTATAAAGCAAGAATACACAGAGAATTTTCAGAAGAGTTACTTGGAAAGGAGTTATCTGATAAGCGCACAGAGAGCCCTCCTCACAGCCCTGTGGACTCAGGCTGGTGACCTCCGAACGCTCAGTGGTCCTGCTGTGTCGGTGTCTCAGAGAACAGCCTGTACTATTTGGAAACACTTTCCAAAGCAATGTATGTCACCTGGCTTTCCGGTAGGTCCGGCAGGGAAGAATGCAATAGGATGTGGAAGCTGAAAGAAGGTGGGGGTGGGGGTAGCTTCTGCAGATGTCAGGCTGGAAGAACAAGGAGTGACTGATTGATTCCTGCTCCCCAGGGGGAGAAACCACAGAGTTTCTTCAGAAGCACTTAGTACCCCACCTCGACCACAGTGGATTAGATATTAAGTTTCCACCCTTCTTTCAAGTCTTGGTGCTGCCATCCATGGTTGTGTGACTTCAGGAAAATTGCCTAACTTCTCTGAGCCTGTATTTCCTCACTGGTCATGACTAATCATTCCTACCATATGGCATTTGTAACGATTAAATAATTTTAAGTACATTAAGGCGTGTAGTGAACTGCAAAATGACACGCAAATGGAAGAGGCGGAAATGACTGTGAACCTAATCACATGGTTCAGTTTACACAAAAGATGATTTTCACACTTTGCATATAACTAATGGAGATTTCTATACTCAACTCACTGAACCTTGTATCGCTGAGATCCAAAGTCTCCAAGCAGGAAAGTATTCTCCACTATCTGGTCAAACGTTTCTGGCTGGTCCAGAGACTAAAAGCAAGTCCTACCACTACAAGGCTGGAAACGTGAATCAGAACTTTTAGTTCCCGATCGATCAATCCATGCTCTCTCCCTCTGGGTTCTGATCTGCTTTCTTATCTTTGTGAATCCTTTAACTGGTTGCCAGGTGAAAATGCCTCTGATCTTTTTTTTCTGCCTCCCATGAAGTTGATAAAAAAAAAAGTAGGAGAGAATGTGCCGTATGAAATCAGTCCTGATCCCGCCAGTCTCAAGTATTGAAGCATTTTTTTGGGGGTACCTGTAATCGAACTCAGGACCTTCTGCTTGCCAGGCAGGCACTTGTGCCACTGAGCTAAACTCGCAGTGCAATTCAAGCATTTTTAGGCTAAAGGTTGTAGTGGGCATATGGGTGGATTTGAGGGAGAGCCGTGGGTAGGAGAGAGCTGAACTATTCACATAAAAGGTCAGTAGGTCTGGGTTCTAGTCTTGACATTCACAAACTGTCTGTGCACAACGTTTCTATTAATCAGAACAGTCTGGGGATTTCATTTAAACTTTAAGGATCTGGATTCCCTTGACTTTCCAGTAGAGAGCCTATCACTCTCAATCTAGTTATTTCTACATTTCACCAGTAGATGGCGATATTGGAAAGTTTTCACTCCGGGGGGAGTGAAAAGTCGTTTCTTTGCCAACTTTTTCTTCCTTGAATGCACAAAAGGATGATTCTCCAAAACTGCAAAGAATGAAAAATCTTCCCTTCTGAACGCGTCGAGCAGCTTTTGCTGGAGATGCACCGGGCCCCTGTTAGAAGAAGATGGCTCCTCTCTGGAAGGGATGGGAGCTTTGGTTATAACGAGGTAAGAGAATGGGGAGGGCGCGCGTGCGTGCTTGCGTGCGTGTGCGTGTGTGCTTGTGTGTGTTCATGTGCGTGCGTGCATACGCCATGTGTGTGTGTGAAAAGCCCTAGCCCAACAAAACTCCGCCCCAGAAAGACGCATCAGACGCCAAGTATTTCCCGGCTCTAGAGAACTAGGAGTTGCCGATATTCCAGGGCTCAGACTCACCCCGCTGAATCAGAAGTCACCTGGGAAGGTCAGCCCTGCCAGCAGACAGGGAAACTGAGGCCCGGAGCAAGTCCGCTCTCCTGATTCTACCTCCTTGCCAATTACACTGTGTTTAAACATTTCTAATGACTTTCCCAATGCCACATGTCTTGTGCAGGGGACGTAAGTCTTTGGCCTCAGGCCTGCCAGGCCCTGCCTCTGCAAACAAGGGAATGGGCGCCGATGGAGGCCCCAACAGCCGATCATTTGGTGCGGAGCCGTCGGAGTGCAGGCCCATCCAGCAGGAGAGAAGAGTCATTTAGAGTAAGTGCTTATTAACGTGCCAAACAAATCTCAGTCGGATTTAAAAAAATTAATAGTAACATTTACTTGGCATTTTGTATGGATCAGAGTCTGTTAATCACTTAAATCGCGGTATCACCTCCTCCTCCTAAGAAAGCTGTGAGATAGTATTAATCTCTGCTTTCCAGATGCACCTGAAACTCAGAAAAGTTAAATCACTTGCCTAAGGTCACACAGCTGGGAGGAGCAGAGCCAAGATTCACATCCGCGTTTGCCTAACTCTACCTTTGATCTTTCAACACCCAGGAGGAGCTGGCTCTTCGTGACACTTTCTCCCATTTATAGTATCTGATGTAAAAACTTATCGAAGTTTCTTACCGGAGCGCTCATCACTGTCACACCATTTTCCTGTTGGGACAGGGTGGCTCTGTGCTGGGGAGCAGGCTCAGGGCCTGCAGACTTGGCTACGTCAGTGTCACGTCTACAAGACTCTCACAAAATGAACATTTGGGGTGATGTGTGAGGCCCTTGCCAATAGCTGCCAGTGCCAGCATCCAAGAAACACCTGGAATCCGGTTCTGCTTGGACATGTCCCCACACCTGCCACTGGGAAGAGGGACAGGAAACACTGAGGACAGAGGGCGCAATGGCCCAGGGACAGCAGCTGTGTGGACAGAGGGCCTCCACTGGCCTAGCTTGGAGTGACACGGGTGTGCATGACCTCATGTGGCCTCGGGACAGCACATTGTGGCCCGGGCGTCTCTAGCCTCCTCTCATGGGGGACAGTGCCTCAAATGCAGGAAGGTGTCCTAAGTCAACAGATGCTAGATAAAAATGCCTTCAGAAGCCAAGGTTCCTGTTTTGCCTCCAAAGGGTGTGACGTTGAGATGAACTATCTCATTAAAATGTAGAGTAATTACCAGCAGCGCCTAGAGCAGCAGTTACTGTCAAAGAAGTAAAGATGATGGATTGGATTCCCGACTTAACACAACCCCCTTCTAACCATGTGACCTAGGGCAAATTACCTAGTCTTTTCCAAGTTTCAATTTCCTCATCTTCCACAAAGGGAAAATACAGCATATGTCCCGAGGTTGCTGTGAATATTAAATGAGATTATGTATATAAAGTACCTGACCTCACACATTTTCTGGTAAACCAGTAAATGTTCAATAGATACTGATGGTGATGATAAACACCGTTACTATTATTCCTGCTTTTGGGGCTGGGGATTTAGCTCAGCGGCATAGCGCCTGCCTGGCAAGCGTGAGGTCATGAGTTTGATTCCCGGTACCAGAAGAAAACCAAAAAAAAAAAAAAAAAAAAAAAGAGCTCCTGCTCTTACTCTAGGTCCTTCTTTCTAAGCATTGTGAGGTTTTTAGAATCTTTGAACCCATCTACAGCTCAATTGTCTGCAGAGCTTGGCATCTCTGCCTGACGACTGCTCATTTATCTCCCATCCTCCATGCCCTCCTCTCTGTTTTGCCAGACTCTAGGGTTTAGGTGATAAATTCTCATGGCTTCAGGAGCCATGGCTGATGATGAAGTTACTACTTGTGACCAAAATAATGTGTAATGAATAAATGAGAGGCAATGCAACTATAGAAACCAAAAACAATGGTAATTATCCTTACATGTGCTTCAGATCTTAACAGGCTTTTGTATTCAGGCTACTCAGAGTCAAATGTGTGCCTAATAAAGCTTTTACAAAGAGCTTGGAAGAGCAGGACCAAAGGAAGAGGGAGGGGTCCAGTGTCCATCACTAGGAGGCTGGGTGGATGTACACTGTCATATCTGATCCACACCACCAGGCACCAGGCTCAAAAGGTTCTGTCAGAGAAAGAAGGCTAGAAGTGGCAGAGGGAGAGAGAATGAGTCTCCCTGAGGTTACCTCTTTCCAGGAAAAGGAACTATGCATCTAAAACAGGAAGGCCTTAAAAAAGTAGTGAAGGCTACTTTGGTTATGTTCTAGGACCTGACTGGAAAAGAGATCTATGAAAGAATACTCTGATTACCAAATCCCACTTCCACACCTGTGTCCGGTGGTTTGAAATCCTATTATTAGGATTTTTTTCTGTTGGGTTAGCAACCAGATAAGAAAAGGATCAGGAAAATTTTAGGTTGCCTCTTCTTGATTAGAAACACAAATGAAAACAAACAACTTATTATTTCTTTTTTCTTTGTCATAGAATTTTTGGAAAAAAAAAAAGCAAATTTAAGAAAATAAATCCAGCCTATCATGTAACCATCCAGACAGAACTAGTATTAAAATTTATATATTTCCTCTTTTAACAAAATGCCTTTTTTTGTGTGTGAAATTTAATACAATTTAACTATCTTTTTCTTTGTGGCTAATGATTTTTGTATCCTAGTTAGAAAATCTTTTCCTGAGTCATGAAGAATTTTTCCGTATTTTTTTCTAGAAGCTTTGTACAATTTTACCCTAGGTGGTTGATAATTCACCTAGGGTTGATTTCTGTGTATGGTGTGAGGTAGGGATTAGCTGTGGTTTTCCCTCAGATGGATATCCAGCAGTATCCACACCATCTTTTCCCCTACTAATCTGCAGTTTTACTTTTTGTTGAAAAATTTTTTGCTAACAGGTGGTTGGATCTTCCTAGTCATTCTTCTGTTCCTTTGGTCTGTCTGTATGTTAGAAATGGACAGGATGTGCTTTATTTGGGTAACAGACAATCTCACCATTTCATGGATGAGTGAAATAAGGTTATTTCTTTTTCACTGTTAGGCCCAAGCTGATGCAGGAGAGGCTGACACAGGACAAGTGTCCTTCCTAAAGTGAAGTGTCTGCATTACTGGGAGTGCAGATCTCCATCCAGAGACCAGAGAGTGCAAATGGTTGATGGTATGAAAACATCACTCGTCATTCCCTTCCTCTTACAGTTCATTTGCCAGACGAGTCAGAGGGCTCCACCCGCCTGCAAGGGCTGTGACATGCTGTTGGCCGCATGCCTGGTAAGGGAGGATACCCAGGTATTGGAAAGTATTAGTGACATCCACCTCCATTTATCTACCCATGTAAGACAATGATAGTCACAATGACTGCAGTTTAATAGTAAGACTCCACAGCTGTATAGAGTAGAGCAAGTTCTCCAACTCTACGTTTCTTCTTCAAGCTCTTGGCTAGTTTGAGCTTTGGGAATTCTATATAAATTTTAGAAAGTGCTTACCGTCTTTAAAAATCCTATTGTGACTTTTATTGAATTTATAGCTCCATTTAGGGAGAACTGACATTTAAAATGGTGAGTGTTCCTGCTCATGAACAAGAATTTTTCTCTTTTAATCTTTTAAATGTTTTAAATGCTACCATAAATGTTATCCTTATTTTTTCATTTTATAAATGATTGTGATATATAGAAATTTAATTCATTTTATTATGTTCATTTCCAGCCACCTTCTAAAGATTTCTCAAATCCTAAAAATTATTTTTTACTTCCCATGGATTTTCTATGTAGGCAATAATATAGTCTACAAATAACAACAATTTTGTGTCTTCCTTTCTGATCCTCATGTCTTTATCTCTTTTTCCTGTCTTCACCTTTCTGGGGGCTGCAGATACTGTTAAACTGATGTGAGGGTGTATCAGGTTAGTGATATCCCTTAGTTATTGTGGGCTGATCGGGACCACAGTCTCCCAAACAGTGGACTGTGAGGCCTTAAATAAATGAGACAACTGAAGTGATTTTAGGGCTCTGGGAAGTTCCAAACCGTCTCAAAGAAATGGAGATTCTGAAGTTTTAGAACAAGGACTTCTCTGGGTGGCCCTTTTTTATTAGGTTTTCAAACTGAGGAGGAGAATACTGAAGAAAATGCAGGAATCCGAGCAGGACTTGGGAATCCCTTTAAGGACTTCTCTAAGTAATACTTTATGTTAATTTAGGAGAAGTATGTTATCTCGAGGAAGGCCTTCACCACAGGAGTGAGATGCCTGCAGCTACAGCCTCCTTTTAGTTAATTGGGGTTGGAGCCAAAAATCCTCAGCTGTGGCGTTGTCTTATCCTTTGAGGCCTCATGGCTTTACCTACCATTACAGGCCTCAGTAGGGACCAGTGACTCACAAGTAAACACGGAAAGCCAATTGGTTAATTTAAGCCCTGCTCAGAGCTGCTTCACAGTGGTCTCCATCAATGGTGAATTAGGAACAGAGTTCCTAGTGCCAAAGGGATGATCTTCAAAATTTCAATTTTAGAAACATTGGTTGTTGCCTTAGTCAGATTTTCCATACATAATACCTGACACCCCTAACTTAAAGGAGGAGACCTTTATTTTGGCTCACAGTTTTGGGAAAATTTAGGCCATGGCCCCTGGCTCCACAGCGGAAAGCATGGAGTGGGAAGCCTATTTAAACTTACAGCAACCAGGAAGAGAAAGAGAAAAAGAAGGAGCGAGGGACAAGAACACATCCTTCAGGTCACACTCACAGTAACCCACCTCCTCCTAGGCCATGCCTCCTAATAGTAAGTCACCACCATGATCAAATCACCTTCCAAACACACAAGTCTTCTGGGGACACTGTAGATCTAAACCAATTGTTATACATTTCATTGTAGATGCTCTTTACTAGATTGTTTATGTGTCCTCTTTATTCCTAGTTGGTAACATTTTTAATAACAAATGTATGTTGAATTTTAGCAAATACTTTTTTTCTGCATATATTGTAATGACTACTGATGCTCCCAGACTTACACTGGGGTTATATTTTGATAAAATCGGTATTCAATAAACATTACATAAGTTGGAAATGCATTTAATGCACTGCATAGGGTCAGTTGTTTACCCTTGTAATCCCATGTGATCCCACGGCTGACAGGGAATTGTGGTCACTGCTGCTACTTACCATCTCAAGAGAGTATCTTACTATGTTTACTACGCAGGAAAAGATCAAAATTCAAATCTGAAGTATAGTTTCTGCTAAATGGGTGTGACTTTCCTACTACCATAAAGTTGAAAAGTCTTAAGTCAAATCATGTGTATAAATTTGTTCGTTTTGCCAGGTTAAATTGTCCAGCTACACTGATTTTCTGATGAAAGCAACATTTACACTAGCATTTATACTAGTGTCTTGGAGTAAGCTAAATTTGGACATGATAACCTTTTCTTTTTTGTATATTGCTAGTGTTGGCTTGTAAATTTTTTTTAGACTTTTTACATCTATGATCATGAATAAAATTGGTCCATAACTTTCTTTCTCAGACTATCCTTTTTGCGTTTGGGAATTATTCTAGCATCACAAAATAAAATAGAGAGTGTGCCCACTTTTTCTATTTTCTGGAAATTTTTGATAAGGTTGACATTAAGTCTTCTTTAAATGTTTAATAAAATTTGCTTGAAACCATCAAATTCTAACATTTTATATGTGACATATTTATGTTTAGCTAAAAATCAATGATTTTAATAGTTAAAGGATTGTTTAGGTTTTCTAGTTCTTCTTTTGTTAATTTTAGTAAGAAGGAATTTATTTAAAATGCATTGACAGTTTATTAATTTGTTTATAAGTCCTCTCCTTACCATTCCAAAATCTGTAACGTATGAAATGATATTCCCTTTCTCATTACTAACTTTATCTGTGCCTTCCCCATTGTTGTCTGCTTTGTGTCAGTAGAGGTGTATTGCTTCTAGCAGTCATTTCAATGAACCAAAATTTGAATGTGGAAACCTTATTATATGTTTTTATCTTTCATTAATTTTTATTCTTTTTTACTTCCTTCTGTACTTTGAGGAGATTGCTCTGCTGTTGTTTTTCCAACTTCTCCTCCTAAAAATAGGTTCTGATTGCATTCTTCTCATCTGTATATTTTCTGTCATTTTGTCTCTCTCTGCTTCATTTTAGATAACTTCTTCTGTCTAAGCTTTCAATTCACTGATTCTATCTGTGTTGGATTTTCTGTTAAATCCACCTATTGAATTTTTCATTTTGATTATTGGGGTTTTTTATTTTTTGGTTTTGTTTCGTTTTTGATACTGGGAATCAAACTCGGGACTTTGTACTTGCCAGGCAAGTACTTGTGCCAATGAGCTATATCCCTAGCTTCTGGTTATTAGGGTTGTAAGATGCCAGAATTCTAGAATTTCCATTTGTTCTTTTCTCAGATTTATACTGATCTTGATTCAGCCCATTGCTGAAATGCTTTTAAGTTCAAGTGTATCTCTTTGAGCATTGCAAACACAGCTGTTTTACAGTCTTTATATGAATAGCATGGCTTTCATGAATCCTTCCAAGTACGTGGTGGTGGGAATGGCTGAGAGGGGCCAAGGGCCTCTCAGGCTCCTAGCACATACCCACATTTCTTTTATGATATCAATTATTTTCTTACTTCATCATTTAGATATTTTTCTCCTCTACTAGACAATATTTTAAGGTTCATTGGAGGTAAATTTCTCTGTCTGGTTCCTCTTTCCATCTGTCATTTAGGACTTCTACCTAAAATGAAGATGTTAGGAGTAAAGGAATGATTTTAGTTTTATCTACCTACTTACTTCTCACTTATTTTTTTGCCTCTTGGATTCCTTCCTAACCTCAGCTACTACCACTCTCCGGGTTGGCTTCCTGTGTTCGAGCCACACTGGCCTCCATTCAGTTTGTGGGTTAGACCTAAAGTGTCCCTCCAAGCTCTCCTGTTCAGAAGTGGGCTTTTAGAAAGTGATTGGATCATAGAGCCACTATTCTCATCAGTGGATTAATCCACTGGTGAATTTATAGCTGAATATGCGGTTAGGAGGCAGAATCTTGTTGGAAGAGGCAGATCGCAGGGTGGGGGTGATCTGGTGATCTGGAAAGATGTATTCTTATCCTCGGCTCCTCCTTTTTCTCCCTGTTCCCTGTTTGCCATGGCATGAGCAGCTTTCTTCTACCATGTTCATTTACCACGCAGTTTCTGCTTTGGAGCCCTGTAAGTAGGGACTGAACCCACTGAAACTGTGAACAAAAATGAACTTCTCTTTTAACTTGAGCGTGTTGGGTATTTTGTTTCAGTGATGGTAAAGTGACTAATACAATACTGTGCTCTAAATAAAAGAGCATACTCCAGCCTCAGGGTCTGTGTTATCACTTTTCCTTCTGCCTTGAAGTTCCTTCCTTTAGATATCCATCTGTTTAATCTCTCATCTCATTCAATCTCTTCTTCAGTGTGGCTTCTACACAGAGATTTTCTCTGGCCACCTTATCGCTGACAGTATTATTCTCTCTCGAATGCCATACTCTGCCCTGTCACTTTGCTTTATTTTTCTTTGTAGCATTAGCACCAAAGGACAGTGTATTATAAATACCTCTGTTGCTTATCTGACTTTCCCAGGAGTTTAGGAAATGTCTAAGGACAGGGACCTTAGTTTTTTGCTCACCATAATGATCTCCAGTGCCTTGAAGTATCTGGAACATGGAAATCCTTCCATAGATATTTGTTTAGTCAGTGTTGAGTTAACTGGTGTACATAAAACTACATTTATTTTTCCAGCGGTTCTAAAAACTTTGTATGATTATTGACTTCACTTTACCTGTGGGTGAACAGAGGCCCAGAGAGATTATTTAATAGGCTCAAGGAGATGCACTTAGTGAATAATTGATCTGAGATTTAAATTCAAGTATGTGCCTTTTAAAACTAACCAGGTCAGCCTCACATGCAGGACAAATTCCTACTAAAACATGCATATAAAAGTAAAAGGCAGATTGGGTTCCAACAACTACTTGGAAGGATAAAGAGAACACTGACAGCAAGGGAAAGCAGTGAGCACTTTCTTCCAGGTCAGCATCCCTCTCTGAGCATTTCAAATGGTTGCTTGCTGTGAGAATCCTCACTTCCCTTGTTCCCTGAGTCAGTCTCTACCTGGCTGTTTCATTAGCCTGGCTGATTTAAACAGAGATGTCAGCAAAAATGGTGACCAGATAAGCAAAGCAATGGATCAGGCACACAGAAAAGACAGGTCAGATGATGCAAGAGCATCTAGATGTCAAGCGCTGTGCGTGTGCACCTGCTCTTTCATGTTATCATTTTTTAAAAAAATATTTCTGATAAACCCAACAGATGGGCTGCTTCCCCCAGGGCCTCTCTAGATGAATTAATGCGGGCATCTGCTTCTATAGGCTTTTGGATTGACTTCTACTGGGTTGGAGCAAAACCAAAGCTTCTGAGCCAAGTGCAAGGGCAGAAGGGCTTCCAAGAACCCCTTGGAAAGATTGAGAAGTTCAATCAAGAGGTGACTGGGAACTTCTTATGCCAAGACACCTTCTCATCCCTTGCTGGTTTGAAAAGGAGATTGGAACATCATTCACTCCCTTTGCAGTTTCACTGATACTCCGTTCAAGAATAAGAGGGAAGGAATCCTGAGAAACGAGAAGGAATGAATCCTGGGGAATCCTATTCAGAGCCAGCTTAGCATGGAATTACCCCCACCATCATTTAGACATGAAATTAGCTTCATTCTGGATAGAGTGACTGAAACAGATAAGAACCCAGGTTTGGAGTCAAGCTGACCTTGGTTGGAATTTGGGTCATAGGTGAGTGACCCAGAGAAAATAATTTCATCTGATAATTTTGTATCTGAAAATCTGAAAATAATTTGAATAATCTGAAAATAATTTCTTAGACTTCTCCTTTGTAAAGTGAGAATAATACCACTTGATACTGCTGTGAGGGGTACATGCAGCCATGTGCTGGTGGTCTGGAACTATGTCTGACGCATAATGGGGTACCAGGAAATGGCAGCTCTTATTGGATTTTGAAACTAGAGGGGCTGGACCTTTATATGACTGGTCAGAAACCAACTCTCTAGTCGCCTTATGATCTTTCTTTCTTTCTGGCCATGGGTAACTTTTTTCTGTCTCACAGAACAGTAGATCTCAAAATATACTTTTATAAGAATCATCTGGGTTTCCATTTAAAAATGCATCATCTCAGTTCCCATTTCCCAGATTGTCTATTTCAGTAGATGGTGGTAGGGCTCAGATATCTACTTTTAGCAGAGTACCTCTGCTGTAGACTGTTTGTGTCCCTACTTCCCAAAGCCCTATATTGTAATCCTAACTCCCCATGGGATAGTAGTAGGAAGTGAAGCTTTCAGGAGGGGATCAAGTTATGAGAGAAAAGCCCTCATGAGTGAGGTTAGTACCCTTATACAAGAGTCCCCAGAGATCTGTGAGGACACAGTGAAAAGACTAGGGCCGTCTATGCAAGAGGAAGTGGGTCCTCTCCAGACACCAAATCTTCTGGTACCTTAGTCCTGGGCTTCTCAACTTCTAGGACAGTTAGAAATAAATTTCCATTGTTTATAAGTCTTGCCTGTAGTATTGTCATGCACCAGTCCATGGAGGAAAGGCAGTCTTTATTCCTTGTACTGGTGCTTAAGACAGCCCTCCCTACTCTCTAGGGTAATTTTGACTGAGAAATACTGCCCTAGGATTGACAGAGTGCTCATACAGCCTGGTTGACTCAAATGCAAAATATTCTTATAAAGACCAAAATAGGAATGAATAGTCCTGCAGACTCCTTTGGAAGTTGAACTCCTCATGCAATTTGCATAGTTATGGCACCTTTTCATCAAGTGCAAATGAGACCCAAATGAATCTTTGCTGTGACCCAGAAAGAATGTCTTCTGGTGGCAGGGAAGGAGGAGAGGGAAAAAAGCCTGAGTGCCATAGGGAAATTAACACCAGCCACAAGACACCTGGCTTCTGGCTTCTGCTCTGTAGTTATGCAACTTTGGCATGTCACTTTTAGATCTGTTCCTTCTTCAGTAAGTGAGAGTGGCACCTATTGCCCTGCGTCCATCTCAGAGATACTGTGGGTTTAGATGAAAGTAGCATGCTACAAAAACAGCAACTGCCTGGTGAGCATGGAAGGCAAAGAATTATAATTATTGGCTGGTCTGAAAAGCAAAAGCCAGTCACCTCCTATAATCAGCTGGAGTCTAATGAGGGAAAGCAGAGAAGAACTCAAGTGTTTTCAACAGGAGGAATTTAATGTAGGGAACAGGCCACTGCAGTATTGAAAGAGCTGCAAAGACAAACTGGTGACGATACAGTAATTCAAAAGTTAGCAAGAACAGAAAGTTACTGGCATTTATAGACTGAAAAGAAAAAGGGGTAAATAATGTTATGAGTCCCTGATGGGCCTGTCTGGAAGGAGTTGGAATGGTGGAGGAAAGGTGATGACTGCTAGAGGTATGTGTAGGTTGAGAGATACCACAGACATACCCTGGCATCTCACTTCTTCCATCCGATCTCCGCTTGCTGAACTCAGAGGAGTGTTTCTCCTCTACAGAACTCAGTCCCCTTATGTACAATGCAAAAGTCAAATAGAGGGTGCTTCTGTTTTTCTTTCCATCTCTCATTCCTGCTGTGCTTTCCTGCAAGAGTGTGCTGCCCAGTAGGAGAGCAGTTCCCCAAAGAAGCCTACAGCACCATCTTCCTAGACAGCAGCCTTTATGTTCACCAACACTGCAGTAATCAGAACTCTCTACTAACTGACACTTCAGCTCCTTAAATTCCTATGTGGTCCCTTATAATCCCAAGGCATCTTAACCAAAGGAGCAGATAGTTATGCTTGGAGACCATTTCCCAACTGAACATAGACAATGGGCTTCTAACATCTCAAATGAATCAATACCGGCATGGTGGATATCATAGCTATAAAACCCAGACTATCTGATGATTATTTGACTTAGGTTAACTGGGTAAAGTTTAGGCAAAGGTTGGCTAAATCCCCTCCAAATGCTTACTTTCCTGCTTCTGTAGACAAGGAAAAATATTGACTACATGTTTAGATAAAAACTGGATTTAGTGCCTTTTATTTTCTCAAGAACCTTAGCTACCATGGAGGCAGTGACCCAGACCTCTACAATCTTAGCCTTTGAGATGCGCAAAATCTTTTTGAATTGAGTATTAAGTGCTGCTGAGGTGCAGCACCGGGCAGGAGTAGCTTCCTTGGTTCCAAGCTTTGTCCCATAACAAAGGGCCGTGTGCAGGCAGAAGATGAGTGTATCAGGAGCCTCTTTGCCCTCAGATCCATCCTTGTGCTTTCCCTTCTTGTGGCATCCTCTTATCTCTCCTGTGGGCCCGGGCCTGCTCTTCCCTCTGGTCTGATGTCTGAGGCTGGAGGATTTCTCAGGTTCTTGTGCCTCAACAACCCACATTATTTAGGGCTCCCTCCCTACTAGGACATAAGCAACCAGGGACTACACAGATCTCACCTATTTTGTAAACCAGCCTGAAATCTAGGGTCAGGGTGGATGTTTGGATATGGTGACCCAAAGATTCTGTGTACTAGCATTGCTTGTTTTCATTAAAAGTTCTCATTCCCTGTGAACCTTCTCAGACTTAACACTCAGACTCTCTGAGGGTAGTGCCATGAATTCTGCCTTTCTGTCTTCTCAAGTGATTTTCATACATCTTAATATGACCTCATGGAGATTTATTGAGTGAAAAATGTGTGAAAGAATGAATGAAACAGATGAGGGCAGTATCACAATATTTTTATCCATTTCCTGTGGAGGTTTGTATAGGTTGTTTTCAGTTGTTCATTTTGCAAACAGTGATGTGGTGGATATTTCTGTGTGTCATCTTATGAGTGTACAATAAAGTTTCCCCAGGCTTGTATCTGAGCACAGATTTGCCGTGTGCATCTTACTCTTTACTAGATATTTAATAGATTGCCCTCCAAAGTGTTTATAACAACCCTCCCTCCCAAGACAGTGGTGGGTAAGAATTCCTTTCTCATCACTTCATGGCCAATTTCCATTATCATCAATCCTTGTATGCTCATCAAATTGAAGAACATGGGTAGCCCCTCATGTGTTAGTTTGTACTGCTCCGATTATCAAGAGGTCAGGAATTTTTTATGAGTTGTATATGCTTTTTTATTTTAGCAGTGAACTTACAGCATAAGACTATGTATTCCTATCAAAATGAGACTGACATCAATAAAATAATTTTTATTTGAAAGAAAAAAGGGTAAGCTGTATAAACACTTGTACTTTCTCAATTTTGCAGGAACAAAAAATTGGCTACCTGACTCCGGAAGACACAGTGGTTCTTCTCAAGCTGAGGGTGCAGACGGGAAATCTATAGAAATATCCTGCTTTTCTCCTAGAGGTGGTAGATCACATGGGAAGGTCAAGGTAAGCCTCCCAAGCCAAAGCCTGACTACTCCGGGTTCTGAGGATTGAGCTACCTATTTCTTCCATGCTTCTGGTATGTTTTGCACCCTTAGGTTCCTTTTGGTCCTGGAAGGAAGACTTTTATCCAAGAGTCTTTGTTTCATGCCTAGTCTTGAGGTCTCCTAGGAGTTTCTGGTAGTTACCATGGGAAACCACAAATATGGGAAAATCTTACGTGTTTTAGCCAATGACATCATCACAAAGAAAGAAAGAAAACAAAGGAAACCGGCCACACATTGTCAGGTTGTCTTGAGCTTGTCCTCATGAATGTGTTGGTCATGCTTCTGAAATTGATCACTTCCTACCCCTCATTTTATCTTTCTCTTTGCATTCCCAGATCTGGTACATGGGTTCATTGTATTTTTCTTTTATAGGTTAACTAGTCATCTTTCTCCAAAAAGCTTATAGTGAGAATCACCACCTCTCACAGAAATTACCAGGCAGAGTTAGTTTCTGATGGAATCTCCTGCCTTAGTTCTTCCTATTCCTGCCTTGATGTGACTACCTGGGAGGTGCAGATCCCAAATACAGACCTTCCCTCCCACTGTCACTTGCCGTCCCCACTCACCGTCTTTCTGTGAGCAGCCGAGAGCGTGGAGTTGGGACCAGGCAGGCAGATGAGAAGAAAGAGGCAGAAGAGACAAAGGCTTCTGGGAAAAGAGGTGGGCAGCTCCAACGATGAGGCATCAGGCAGAAAGTGGAGACCCCAGGAGCCCACAAATCTTCATGGAACGGTCTTGGGGTGGATGGTAATACTGCTGAGAAGGACCTGTCTGTGGGTAATCAATTTCCCTAGATCCCCCTTACCCCCACACGGGGGCCCATTACCCTGAGAAACTGATTGACAACCTAAAGCTCTGTGGTTGTCTAATTCAGTCACTCAGCGAATATTTATTGAGTTCCTTCTATGTGCAAGATACTGTGCTGGGTAGCTTGGGTGGGAGTGGGAATAGTGCCGAGAAAACGTGTCTTTGATCCTATTGTAATTCCACAGGGCTTTAAGGGAGTAAGATGGACAAGCAAACTTGGTGTGCAGACAGAAATGTCTAGAATAGGATATGCTATGGGAGGGGCAGGCAGGAAGATCAACTGTGGTTTCTTTAATGGCAGGAAAATGGGCTGGATGGTCTGCAGGCAGCAGGTACCCAGAAGAAGCACAGAGTTTCGGGGATGGATGGATCCTGACCAAGGATTCTGCCTCAACTTGAAAATTTTGTCTAGAGCTAAGACACAAAGCAGGTAAAGCACCACATATAGTGCATGTTACAAAGTAAGTGCTCAAGAAAATGTTCTTTTTCTAGTTCCCTTGTTTTTTTTTTCCTTTCTTCCCTTTAAATCCCCCCACTTCCAACCTTTGCTATATCTAGATGGACCCCACTGTGACCTGCCTTCTTAGCATTTCTTAGAGCAGAGGTGTACAAAGGTTTTCTGTACAGGGCCAGGCAGTAATACTTAGGCTTTGAAGGCCACACAGTCTCTGTCTTGACTACTGAGCCCTGCTGTTGTAGGCAGGCAGGCACAGAGGATACACAAGCCCATGATGGGTTTATTCCAGTAGAGGTTCCTCTGAGGGCACTGAACTTTGAATTCTACACACTTTTACATTTAGTAATATTCTTCTTTTGATTTTTTTCCAACCACCTAAAAATGTAAAAATAAGAAAAGAACCTTTTAGCTTATAGGATTTACAAATGGCAGACTGGATTTGGCCCAAGTGCTGTAGTTTATTGATCCCTGCTTAGAGTAATAAAGTTGACATTTTAAGGTTTGCAACCAACCTCTTGGAAAATGCAAGGAAAGCTGTTCACTCATCCATCCACCCACCCATCCATCCATTCATCCATTCATTCATCTATCCATCCATCCCTCTGTCCATCCATCCATCCATCCATTCATCCAACCATCCATTCATCCATCCATCCATCCATCTATCCATCCATCTATCATCTATCCATCCATCCATCCATCCATCCATCCATCCATCCAACCATCCATTCATCCATCCATCTATCCATCCATCCATCCATCCATCCATCCATCTATCCATCCATCCATCCATCCATCCATCCATCCATCCAACCATCCATCCATCCATCCATCCATCCATCCATCCAACCATCCATCCAACCATCCATCCATCCATGTTATAGATATTCATGAGGTTTCCTGGGATCTAGATGTTCTGGCAGCTGCTGTAGCTGTAGTGGTGAGCAATCCAAAGTCCTGCTTGCAGAGAACATACAACTTGCACACTAAATGAGCAAGCAAAAGAAGTCTTATTATTTGAAGGGTGATAATCTGAGGCTGGGGAGGAGCCTGGGAAGCCAGGGCAGCCTTGCCCAAGGGATGCATGCATGGGAGCTAAAACCTGAAGCACGAGCAAACGGCAGCCTCAGCAAGAGACAGAGGCAAGGTAGAGGCCGAGAGAGGGCACAGCATGGGCACAGGCAGGGGCAGAAAAGGACCCCATGGGGCCTGAGCACCCTATTCAGGACTGGCTGTATCAGCCTCAAGGAGAGGGTAGAACAGCAAGCAAGGGTTTCTATGTCACAAGAAAGGTTTGCTTCCTTCCACTGAAAGCAATGCAACAAGCAGGAAGTGAGTAAAGGAATTTCTGGGGAAAAATAATGACGGCTGATTCACATCACTTTGACTGCATGTAGGAGCCCATTACCAGAAAAATACACTTAGTTACATACTACCAATTATTTTGCTTATTGTTAGTATTTTTTTAGAGGTTTCTAGGTTTTCCTTAAAGCCCAAACCTCAAGTCAAGAATTCTGAGAATAAGGGGAGGAAAAGCCCAAATCTATAAAGAAATAGTTTGTGTTCTCTGGAAGGTTGGGCTGGTACTTGCTGGACCATCAGCTGCTTTTCCTGCCAGGTCCTCTTTGTGGCCCTGCAGGGCTGGGCTTGCTGGGAGGTGGGAGGAAGTATTTGCTCCACACTTTGGGGTCATCTGCAAATGTAGCTCCAATCTGATGGAGGCTACTGAGAGTCTGGGTTTGTGTGCAAATTCCTGGAGGTGGGGTGTCTCCGCCAGGTCCTGGTTGTCCTCCCCTAATCCTCAAACAGACACACACACACACACACACACACACACAACACCTCCCCTAATCCCCAAACAGACACACACACAGAGAATCAACACCTGCAGACCTGCATTTGTGGTGCCCATCCCAGCACTCTGGCAATTCCTGCAGTGCAAACCTCTCTGCAGTCTTGCCTGCAGGCCAAGACCCAGTGCTGTACCTTGAGTCCTCCCTGCCTTGCAGAGAGGCTTGGGTCCTGACTTAGGTTCTCCTGCTCTGACCCAGTGGCCACCTGTGCTCCTGGGGAGCTCAGCGGAGTCTGGGAAACTTTCAAAGAGCAGTTAATCACTAACTACCTGGAGATAAGAGAGAGAATGAAACAATTGAGAAAGTGCCCAACCTAGAGCTAAGAGCTTCCCTGTCCGCACACGCCAGGACTTAGCCTGCCAGGGATCAAACTGAGGTTGTTCACCAGAGAAATCTACATGCCAGGCTCTGGGGTCGGGGGAGCCTGCAGAAGCCCAGGGCTGAGGGTCTTATGGCAGCTGCCGTCCTTTCCCCTCTAGGACCATTTCCTTCAGCCAAGCCTCAGCCCTGAGGATAGAAAGGGACAGTCGCTCATCTGTAAGATCAAGGTCTGGAAGTCAGCTTTGTCCGTTTTCTATACCAGCTCTGTGGGACACAGAGATCCAAGATAAATCAGACAGGCGCTCAGCCCTCCCTGAGCTCGCAGTGCAAAGACACAGGCAGGTGGAATGGCTGCCAGTAACCCGCAGACTACAGTGGTGGAGTAGACACACAGGCTGAGATCAAAGAGGAGAGGGGTCAGCCTTCTGTGGGAGGTCAGGAAAGGAGCTCTGGGCAGGTCATGATCACAGTAATTAATGGAGCAGTAGCCAGTGGCAGGCATTAGCCTAAGGGACTCCTCTGCTCTCTAATCCCACCACCATTCTGCCTGAGAGGCATTGGCCCCTCTTTACAAGTGAAGGTTTTGCCCCGCAGGTCTTTCTGACCTTGCAGCTACTCCACTTTCTTTCCAAATGCCCCTTTTCTATGGCCAAAGTCTATAAAAAAAGTTCTCAGTGGAGTGTGTTTTTTCCAGCCAAGACTTGGACTCTGGGGAAACCAAAAATGCTAGACTTTCATCCAGACTGCAAACAGCCACACCTGCTTTGGCAGGAACAATGGTCACCAGCCGGACGCTCCTGGGGGCAGGAGACTGGAAGTGGTGCTGAAAGCAGAGAGGAAATTCTCTCCTTCTGAGAAATGGGAGCAACGTGAGGCACTTGGTTCCTAGTTTTCCTTAAGAGCTCACTAATCTGATTGATAACCCCAAACTGCTTTTAACTTACGCCTTCCGAGAACTCCTGGGTGAGTGCGCTTGCCTTTTTCTGATGATATCAGCAGGACCCTGCAGAGTTACCTCATTGATTTTATTACCTTCTGTCTCTTCAGGATCTTGGAGATAAAAACTGCCTCCTGAGAGGCTTTTAGGGAGCATGCATCCAGGGACTGCCAGCTGCAACTCTGGCTCTGTGAGGCAGAAGCCACAACCTCTGTCTTCTGGCACTTTCCTCTGCTCTGCTCACAGTAGAGCTGCAGCTTGGGTGACACTGGCCATAGACCTGGCCAAGGTGGATTCACCCCTTTCGGTCTCAGGGGCTGTTCAAGGATGGTTTAGTGGTTTGGGTAAGGATTAGCTGGATGCCGGAGAAGAACATGTGGACCCTCCTGGGCAGGGTTCAGGGACACAGCTGGAAGCCTACCTGACTGTATGACTCCTCTCTCCTGCCCTCTACAATGGCCAACCATGTTTTCGGGGGTGCCTACGATGTGCAAGTGAGTCTGGAAAAAGTGCTTAGTATACGCTAACTCATTTAAACCTCCCAATGACCCTGCCCAGCAAGTTTAAGCAATGGGTTCAGCCTACATGCTGGGGAAGGAGCAGGGTTGGACTTTGAATCCTGACACACTGGCTCCAGTAGGAGTTTGCCAGGAATGCAGAGTCCCCAGTTACTCCAAACTCTCTGAATCAGCATCTTTATTTTAACAGGTGCATATTGGAGGACGAGAGACACCACCTTCATGGCATTCCTGGGCTCTTCTGGGAGTGGGTTTTGTTCTCAAACTGTTACTTTCACTCAACCAGCAGGACATTACCAAGCTCTGCATACTGTGCCAGGCAACTGGTCTGGGTGAAGAGATAAGTGCCCTCCTGAGACTTTTGTTTTTTTGTTTTGTTTTTTGGTTTTTCTCTGGTACCGGGAACCGAACTCACGACCTTGCGCTTGCAAGGCAGGCGCTTTGCCGCTGAGCTAAATCCCCAGCCCCCCTCCTGAGACTTTTGGCCGTGCTCTTCATGAGGGCGGTGTAGGGACCGAGTAAGGTGGTACAAGACACTTAGACCCAAATCCTGGCGCCACCTCTCAATGGCTTGGTGACTGCAGCTGAGTCATTGCATGATCCTCGCCCCACATTCCTCTTTTATAAAACAAGGCAGGTGTGCCAGGAGAAATTCAGCATGCAGTGTATTCCATGTGCACCCCGTGGGCTCTCAGGGAGCATCTATCTCCTTGAGCAGGGAACTGGTTCATATGTGAGTGACCTGCCCCGCCACCATAAGCTCCTCTGTTTCCAAATGAAGAAGTGTGCCAGACTGGGGAAGACAGGAGTACCTGGCTCCTTGAAGCCCCTTGTTATAGCGGCAGGTCCCACATTACCTGTCTCAATGGTCTTTCTCTGACCCACCTCTGAGAGTAGCTCAGTAATTCAAACTTGTCTCCAGGATGGGTAGAGATTAGAGGTGTGGACAGTGATGAGGAATGGTCTAGAATCCTGGCCTCTGAACTCAGGGACCTCCCAGGGGGAAGGGGACCCGGATAAATAGATCTGGGAGTCACAGAGGCTTGGCTCGCCTTCTACCTCACTCTCCCCTCTCCTCTTTGCTACTTTGTTTTGGGCTAGAGTTTATTTTTATTACCTGAAAGCCTTATCTTCACAAGTTAGAACTGTTTCCCTGGATTTTAAAGTAATTCGTGGTAATTTGTACTATTCAGAATAGCACAGAAACAGATTAAATTGGAATAAAGAGAACAAAAAACTTTGTTGTTTGAGGATTCAGTGACTTAATCTATCAAAAGCACACAGTACAGTAGCTGGCTTGGAGTAAGAGCAAAGTAAATACAGGCAATGATTAAGGTAGGATGGGTATTAACTTGAGCACCAAAAGAGGACTCAGAGTAGTCTGTAGGCTAGCGCTATCTTCTTGTGTGTATTTCTTTTGCAGTCACTGCCCTATGTACTTTTGGTACATTAAGTCACTCAATCCTCAAACGACTTGATGCTGTGTAGTTACCATTGTTACCTCCATTTTATAGCTGAGACAACTGAGGCTCAGCCTGGTTAGGAAGCTTGCCTGAGGCCTCTCAGCTACTTCTCTGTAGTAGATCCAGGATTTAAATCTAGGTTTGTTCAGTTCCAAAGCCCACATACTAAACCCCTGCAGTGACAGCCTTGATAAGATAATTGCAAGTTATTACTTGGCTGAATAGGAAGCCTATTGAAAAAGCGTCTCCAACCAAGACCATCAGCTTCCCAATCTGGCTAACCATGGGACTCCCACAGACGGACAAAATGCCTCACCTTTGAATGACTCTGACTCAGAGGGTCTGCCGCAGTCAGCCAGGCAGCTCTGTTCTGGTGAAGCTCCAAGTTAATTTGACCCAGAGCCTGGGTGGGGCTCATTGCCCTGGAGACAGACTGCAATCCCTGGGACTTGAGGGTGCTTCCTCATTTAGAGTGGGAGGCCACTGGTTTCTGAGAATAAAGGGTCATTAACTCTGACGGAGCTTCTGGTGAGTGACCTTTGCACTCTGTGAAAGTGTAGAGATCAAGATAAGACGGAAAACTGACAACCAGAGATTGAAATCCAGGCTGAGCTCTGAGGCTTCCTGCTTAGAGACAAGTGGGTGAAGCCCAGTGGCAGCTGGAAGCATGTGAAGGAATTAAGGTGACAAATATATGGGATGAATTAAAGCGTTAAGCAGTGAAACTTTGGGATATTCCACTCTGGAAAGCACAAGAAGCGGTGACTTTAGTATCTGGATCTTCAAAGGCAGAACTGCTCTTGGCTGTTTCCAGCCCGATAGCCCCACCGTATCCAAGTCTCCGAAGCATTCAGGGGTTTCTACACTTACTGTGTGTCCTATTTGCTTCTTAGTCCTTCTCCAGAATGATTTGCTCATTCAAGAATAAGCTCTAGTGATCTTCAGCACAGTAGGGTGACCATAGTTCACCACAATTTATTCTATATTTTATAAAGAACTAGAAGAAAGGCATTTAAATATTTCCAACACGAAGAAATGATACATGCTTAAGGAGATAGAAATGCTAATTACACTGACTTGATCGTTGCATATTATATACATATATCAAATTGTCACACTGTGCCCCATGAATATGTGTGATGATTCTGTATCAGTGAAAAAGACTTTGCATGTATATGCAAAGTGGGCATATTCCTATCTCCAATGGAAAACAGGCAGCACCAGCCACATATTAAAATGAACTTTCAGCAAACAGGATAAAACCTGACGATGGAATTCCTTCTCCTTAGATCCTGCAGCCCCGGCTCTTTTTGTGGAGAGGAGATGTTTGTACACTGAGACCCCCTTTGAAGTTTGGGAAGGATTAAAAGGGAATGGGATGAACAGATGGTTATATCACCAGGCCTTAGGTTAGTTCCTGGAGTATAGCAGGTATTTACATATGTTTATTAAAGATGTGGACGGTAGGGTTTTGGGCCTGATTATAGCGTGACTTATCTGCTTTTTGTGCTGAGAAGCTGCATATGAAGTGGAGAGAGTGTCCAAATAGCCATCTAAATGTTTTGGTGCCTCCATCAGAGCTCAGTTTCTCACTTAGGTCTGAGAACTCTGGGAAACTCACCTGCAGGCCTGGCCAGCCTCAGCTTTGCACATACACTTGTTACTTTTCTGCATTGTGAGGATGAGACAGGATCAGGGATGGGCAAGGCACTTTGAAAACTCTAAAGCTCTCTGCACAGGGGACAGTTACAATAAAAGCCTGATTGTGGCCCTGATGGTATCCTGCCCGCGCCTGGCCGCTGTGAGAGACATGGTCCAATGCCAGACTATAGAGTGTAGAGCAATGGGTTTGTGTTCTTCTAAAAGAGAATCTGCTTGTTTCTCTCTGTCACTGGGCTCTCCTGCCAACAAGAGGAATGCACAGTCAGACCTCACGCTATTGAGACCAGATTCTGTGTCCTCCTGAGTCCTGGGAAAAGTGACCGAGGAGACCCACATCATCTTCTTTGTGAGTGTTTCTTTGTAGTAAAACCATTATTATTGTATAGCTACGAATACAGGCATTACTATAATATTGGTCCTGCTAATAATACAAGAACAACCATTTGTCTGTGACTGAGACAGTCTTGTCCAGAGGCAGGGGAATAGATTCAGTTAGTTTTTGAGCCTGATCTTAGCCCTTTCCTTCTGTTACCACCTTGTAAACCTGAGGGTGCTCTCTATTTATTCCTAAGGACTTGTGGTTAGAACCTTCCAGAAATATCTCACACTGTGCTCCCAATGGTCATTGCCCTTTATAACATGTCCATCATTCAAGATTGAAGATTTCCCCAACAATGAAAGAGAGGAAGTAGCTATGTGAATCAAGGCAGCAGGATTTATGTGACACCTTCCAAGCGGGTAAAGCCAAGGGCCATTGCTGAAGTCTGATACCTGCCCTCTATCATGGGGTAACATTCATACCATGCCATTCCCCGTTTATTAAATACATATCTACATGTTCCTAGAATGCACCAATCACAATGCTAGTCCAGCTGGGGAGAGAGACAAGTAAATACGGCATAACAATGCAGTATGGTAAGTGCTAGAGAAAGGAAGAGTCAAGGAGAGGGAAGTCCCCTCAGAGGTGGGGATGGATTGGGCAGGGAGCCAGCTCTCTGGAAGCTGTGTTGGGGTTGAGATCTGAAGGATGGGTGGTGGTGAGCTAGGGGAAGAAGTAGGAGTAAGTGTGCTCTGGGCAGGCACAGCATATGCAATAAGTGGCAGGGGCAGAGAGAATAGGAGGAATGTCTGCACATTTGGATCCTGTTGTACTGTGAAATACACATTTAGTTTTCCGACAGTTTCCTGACATAGAGTTCTTGAGGTCTTTGGAATCTCCAAGTGATCAATGTCTAGAAAGACACGCTAATGGGTTGACTGATGGCTGGCCACCCCCAGGTGCCCTCAGGATGGAGAGGGGTCAAAGGAGAAACCAATTGTGTGATCAGAGGGTTGGAACTCCGCTCGATTCCACCTCCAGCCGTTGGAGAGCGGTTGGTTGATCACCAGCGGCCAAGGTGAGCTGATCACCAACTTTTAATGAAGCCTTCATAAAATCCCTAAAGGACTGAGCTTTGGGGCTTCCAGGAGAGTGAAAAAGAGCAAGAACTCATCAAGGGTGGTATACCCCAGTGCCACAGGAATGGATGCTCCTGTGCTTGATATCCTTTCAGACCTTATCTATGCATCTTTTCATCTATCCATTTCATTTCTTTAAAATATCCTTTACAGTAAACTGGTAAACATAAGTAAATGTTTCTCTAGTGACTAATTCTAGCAAATTAATCAAACCTCAAGGAGTGGGTGCTAGGAACCCCAACGTACAACTGATTGGTCAGAGGCCCAGGTTAAAAAAAGACCTTGGAACTTGTAATTGATGTTGGATCTGTTGTGCTCTCCAGGATGACGTGTCAGGACTGATTAGAAGCAGCCAGTTGTTGTTCACCATGGCGTTGTTTGCTTGGTGTGTGGGAAAAATCCTTGCACACATTTGGTTCCAAGAAGGGTTCTGTGTGAATATGGTAGGAGAAGTTCAATTTGTTTTTTTCTACACAGGTCCTAAAAGAAGAAGTACTCAGAGAGGAGTCTGGAGAACTAGTTCTTCTGAATTACTTTATGATGGCTTGGTCTTATTCCAAAGGGCATGGGACCCATTAATGGATGGTAAACAAGTAGATGTATATTGTAGGAAGACCTCTTGCCTCTCTTCTCTTACCTGTGGTCATAGGCTCCTTGAAGGGTTTTTGGGCAGAAGTTCATGAGACATACTCAGGACCAGAGTATGGTCCTTCTCCAAGGATGAGATTCAGGCTCAGCTCACATACAAGTAGAAGAAGATGGCAACTCAACCCCT